TCCAGGATAAATGTGAGCAATTAGACAGAAAGAAGGGGTAACTGGTGCTAAGCAAGTAAAATAAAACAGCAAAACAATGTACATAAACTCTCAAGTACTGGAAATAACTCTCTGTTCTCTGGGACCAACTAGGTGATGGCTGTTTTCTAGAGTCTAGGTTTTGGCCAGCTTCTCTGGATTATGGGAGAGGTTCCTTGGACCTGGGCTTTGGCTCCACTTCGTAGACTCACCGAGATTGCTTAGCTGTTCATTTGGCTGTAGGCAGCCACATTTTTCTAGTCCAGCTGAGTTCCAACTCCATCTCTTTGTCGCTAGCTGGTCCCATTCTTCTGCTAATTGGAAGGCCCGCACCCTCAGATTTGGACAGGGATTCTAGTCTTATTCCTTAGACACTTGTGAATCGCGGCCCATACTCCAGAACTACATTGTTGCCTATATGTCATTTGAAATCTAGGAGGCAATTGCCTAGCCCCTTGAGTTCCACCCATCGAGACTCCAAAAGTTGTGGCCCTACCCTTGGAGACCTAGGTAGCTCTGATTCTTTTGTTCCCATCTTTTCAGCTTCAGCTTTCTGATTACTTGGCCTCTTAGACTTGGCTGCTTGGGCCAGTGTTATAAATCCCTGTAGCGCAACCAATAAGTGCTCAGAGGATGCCACTCTGCCAGTAAGCATTGGCCCCCAAAGCACTCTTGCTTTGTTGGTTGACAAGCCCAACTCCACTGACCAGAACCTAGAGGCCTCCTATGCCACAAGGAAGCTTCCTTTATAAATGCTTGGAGCTCTCTCGCTCCGTGGATTGGCTACTATGCCATCTTGCCACGCGTCTCCTTAGGCTGATGCCACTGTTTCTCTGCCACTGCTTCTCACCATCTGCACCATCTCTACTGTTACAGCTTTCCTCACTTCCTTCCTTCTGAGTCCTGCAGAATTTTCTGTAGTGTCCAAACTCTACTAACAATCTCTTCACGGCAGACTAGGCATTGACTAGTAGGTCCCTGACAACTTTTCCAGTCTCTGCTCACTCGCCTTCCAGTTCCCAAGCCACTGGGTTTGGTTAGGTCCTCTAGAGAAGCAAAACTCATGGTGCATGTATGTGTTTACAAAGAGAAAGGGATTTTGAGCAACAAATGGCTTACATAAATGTAGAAGTAGGTGAGTACAGTCTGGCCTAAGTCCCTAGGTCAGGTGTAAACTGAAGGCCTCTCTGACTCCCGTAGCAGCTCAAGTTAATGACCAGGGTGTAGGATGAAGAACCAGGAGGGCCACAGGCTGGCGGATGCAGAGGTAAATTAATTTGAGGCTAGCCAAGTAACTCTAAGGTTGGCAGTCCACTGACAGTGCCTGGGATCAGCAGAAGATGCTGACTCTATAGGAGAATGATGACCCAGACTGAGGATCCAGGTACAGCAGAAGGTGAAGGGGCAAAGAGGCTCTGTCCTGTTCAGGGTGTCTCTTTTATACTAAAGGCCACACCTCCAAGAAGGTGTTATTAGGCAGGACCCGATTGATAGGCCAGGTTCCACCTCTACCTTCCCCCAAGGATGCCCAATCACAATTTCTGACAAAATTCAAGCCATCACAGTCACATTTTAGAATAGCACCCTATCCTTCCCATCCCATCCTTTGTCTTAATTAGTTATCTTAATTATCTAGTGCTGCTAGAACCGAGCTATCACAAGCAGGTGGCTTTAACACACAAAAATTTGTTTTCTCCAAACTTAGGAGGTGACATGTCCAAATTTGGGGGTCCAGTTCTAGGGGAATGTCCTTGTTGTGTTAACTCTAGGGGAAAGTCCCTGTTTCCATTCAATATTTGTGGGTCTGATGATCCTTGTAAATCTCCATGTTTCTTGGCATCACTCTTTCCCTTGCTCTAGGAGGTTCTCAGTGCAGGGACTCTGGGTCCAGAGGGTACACTTGGCACTTGCTCTTCTTTCTCGTCAACCCTTAGGGGTTTTCTTTTCTGCTCAATGCCCTTTCCTTTTTTCTCGTGTAAGATGAAAATTGATGGACAGCACACCCCAAGGAAAGTCCCCTTACCTTGGATCAGGACTGTGAGCTGAGGAGAGATGCTGCCTTTCACCCTAATCCCCTTAAAGCGGACTGGCTGATTGTATCTGATCACATCGTAAGGGATGATTACAAAACATCTCTTCCTATATTGAGAATCCCAACCTAGCCAAGATGATGCGTCCTTTGGAGGATACAATTCACTCCATGGGAATTGCTCACAGGATGCTGTGAGGCGTAAGTGAGATGGCAAAGGCTAGTGCTTAGCAAAGTTCTTGGAAAATAACGAGCACATGATAAATATTATGACTAATACTAAGAGAAAATAGATTACGGTTAATCAGATGGATGGGCTATGAAGTGACAGGGAAATGGCTGAGGGGTTGTGGTGGATGCTCTTGGTGCCTGAATCAGACTGGCACACCCATCCCCCACCCCGACTGGGAATGTTGGCTGCTTATGCCTCAGCTGACCCCTTTCTGGAGGATAGCCGTCAGCTAAACAGGGTGCCTCGCTGCTCATGACTCCCATTCCATCAGGGAGAAGACCCCAGCCAGTGACTCGCTGAGTGACATGGGAGAAAAAGGCTGGCCCGCTTGCTTCAAAGTGGAACCAACTCTCCTTTATTTTTGGAAATTCATGCCAGTGACTCATGGGTATTCCTCTAGATCAATGGTTCTCAACCTTCCTCATGCCGTGCCCTTTAATACAGTTCCTCATGTTGTGGTGACGCCCCAACCATAACATTATTTTCATTGCTACTTCATAACTGTCATTTTGCTACTATTATGAATCAGGCAACCCCTGTGAAAGGGTCGTTCCACCCCCAAAGAGGTCATGACCCATAGGTTGAGAACCGCTGCTGTAGATATATTCTAAATGGCTTCAACTGGGACATAAGTCTGGGATGGACTGATTCAGCATTCCATGTGCAAGGGATCTAGCGAAGAAGAGGGTTAGCTGCTAGGCCTATGGGAATATTAAGAAATGTTTTAATACAGTAACGTCTTATTGAGCTTCAATTCTGAGCATCCTTATAGTTCAGGCAAAGAGAAGAGGTAGAGTAGACCACTTGGCAAAAGCAGGTAATGATTTTAGAAAGCACACAATACTTCAGGACTTTGGTCTGATAAGAATCTGTCTTGTGGTTCTTCTTCACTCAAATTATATCAAGTGGTAAAAGTGAGAGGTGCCCTCAATGATACCAGGCAAGAAATGCAAATGCTGTGTTTCCCACAACCTTTTCTCAGAGTGAATTTGTAGAATACTTTATACAAAATTGCTGTCTCATCCAGAGATTGGGGGGCGGAGTTGTCCAATCGGTATGGTTTAAGGCCACAGTTGATTCATGGGGTGGCAGCATTGGTTGCTGAATTAGTTCAAAGATAAAATATAGACTATAGAAATGAAAACACATAATTTTATTTATTGATAATCTTCATCAGAAGATGAAAAGGTGACACCAGACATTTCCTTTAAATTATTCCTTAACATATCACTATATTATATCGATATTTTATCTAAGTCTATATAAACACTATAGATAAATATGTATGTATATATATAAATAAATATATATGTGGATGACAGGTTTTCTTTGTAATTATCACTAACCTCTAACACTACAGAGGATTGGGAGGTTCATAGTGCTTTGGGAAAACTGAGTTATCAACCAAGATGGGTGGTTTGACAGCGGCCTAATCCCGCTTGCAAGAAAGACGGGCTAAAAAAGAACAAGACTTTCCAGCTTTTTCTTGTCAAGTTGCGTTTTTAATTTAGCCTTCAAAAAGGCTGCTCGGCAGATTCTTTGTTTCTATACGCACCACAATGCCCATCGGGTCTTCACTTGCTCTCCTCAGTTCAAAGCACTTCCCGGGAAGGAGAAATGAATCAGCAAGTGGAGAGTTGAGAGGGGATTGTACCATGTCAGGGATGCTGGTAACACATCCCCCGCAAAGACAAGCTCCAGAAGCAAGGCCTGTGATCACGCTCGCTCCTGCTCCAAACCAGCCCCTCGCCCAGCCCAGGAACCATCTCCTTTCTACAGTGAAAGGAAATAGGAAACCGCAAAGCTGCAGGTTTGGAGAAAGAATGTCCCCCTCTCTTTAAAAGAAATGCTCTTCGAGGGTGGCCTGGGTTGTTTTCCTTTAAGAGCTTCTCGAGTGAACAGATGTAGCAATTTTCTATTATTTGCCTTGGTGCAGATGCCGAAAGAGAACATTCCCCATAAAATATATGCAGTATATGTAATTTCAGCTGGATGTTCTGGGGTTTGAAAGTAAAAATGTGTACCTGCAAGCTGTTTTATGGTTTCTCAGTCATAATTATCTCTGTTACACAGAAGGCTACAACCACCATCCCTCCTTCCCGTGAAAGCTTTTCCAAAATATCTTGACAATTTTGCCTGTTTTGCCAGGCACCGCGTTATTCTTTTGGATGGCTTGGGAAGCCTGTAAGATGTGGCAGCTCTCTTTGTGACACATGAAGGAAGTGATCCCCTCCATGGGGTCACCAAGGGAGAACCTGCCATTAGGAAGGAACAGCAAGGAGAGCCGTTCGAGATGCACTCTCCCTCAGCTCACTGCAGACAGCGGAGTGGAGGAGAGCAGGTTTGTTTAGTGCAGCCACACTGGAGACAGAAGATGGGAGACGAGGGACGGGAAAGGTAGTTATCGATGACAGCAGCCTGACACCGTCCTTAGTGAGGTTCACACGTCTGTGTGTGGCATTCCTCATGGGATGGATGAAGACAGGGGCTGGTGCATCATTGCCAAGCCAAATCCCCAGCCAGCCCGTGAGCAAATGCTCTGCTGCCTATGTCCTCTGCTTGCTCTAGGATGGACCTGCCCTCCAATTGTCAGCCAGATTCCCTGTCATTGTGCCATGCATCCCGGCTGCCTTCCCAGAATAGGTTTTTCCCGTAGTGACAGAATGGCCCGCTCCTAGGTGCCTCGGCCCAGCCCCTAGAAAGCAGAGGTTCAATAGTTACCATTGGGGTTCCACTGGTCCTCTCCGCCCAGCACGAACAGGAAGTTCTCCACCTCCACCACGCAGTGGTGGGCGCTGTTATACGGCATAACTGAAAGGAAGCACAGGGGCAGAAGAAGCATGACATCTTTGACCTTCGCACTTGCTTGGTTGGCTCACAAGCTAACTGCTTCCGGCAAGTGTCTTCCATGGGAGACTGGATCCCAGGAAAAGGAGCCTTGGGTAGTCGTGCGAGGCACCCACCATTCCAGAGAACCCTAGACCGTGGCTCCACGGTGTGTTCTCAGGAGCTCCGGTCCCCAGCCTTTTGGATTCGTTTTACATAATGATATTCCACAAATTAGTCAGGCTGCTCTCGGTCTGACGTTCCCCTCACCTGCCTGGTGACACAGAAGGCATTCGGAAACGGTGACTGACACTCCCAGATGGTCAGGACTGGGGTGACTTCTTGGAAGAAGTTCCCCTGAATACACGTCGAGCCGTTGCTCTGCTCTGCCCCAACTCGGTGTGCTGGCAATCTTTCCAGAAACAGAACCAGGAAGCTTGAGCGCTTGCTATTCCACAGCCATGAGCAAGCTGAATTTCCATACAGTTTTCAGTTTTTAAATTAAGGTCCTGCTGATTTAATGCCTCCTCTAAATGTATACGCTTAATTTCCTGTACAATGTCATTAGCAGCACAATCACACACTTTCTATCTCTCTGTTTAGGAGCTCTTCTGTAACAAAGATAAAAACCGGCAGGCACATCACACTTTTCCATCCTCCTCGCCTTTTGCTGCTCCCTGCCCCAAGGCGGTGGTGGTGAGGAGGGGGCTTTATACCGAAAAACACTGGAGCCAGGCTCCTTCCTATCGATTGCCCTTCCCACTTCCTTTTGGGAGCCACACACTAGCAGAGGAGGCCTCCCGGTCACCCTGTGGGCTGTGCTGCGTTCGGCAGGGCTATCAGAATGTCATATGGTAAAGGTAAACGTCCCCAGCATTAGGTATCACACCGCAGGCAGTGGTTTGGGCCCAGTGACACCAGTAGGAAAAATGATGTCCTTGTTCAGCTCATCATATGGGCACCTTAAATCTAGGTGAGGACAAATGGGGAGGTGATGTGCATGTTCAGGCAGGGAACTTATTGCTTGACACGGATCAACAGAGCACTTAAGAAACCAGTGCAGTGGGAAATCAATATGAGTCAGGGCCAGCTCGCACTTTGTGCTCTCTTGCCAATGCCGCCGCGCGAGAAAGAAGAGGGTGGGGAGCATACCGCTTGCCAGCATTCTGAGTGATAGATATTCCTCTTTGAATTTTGTTTTTACATCGTGCTCTGTTCCTCGGTATGCACCAAAACAGGCTAGGAGAGGTGAATAAACGTATTAAGGAACAGACATAATGTTGATATCCGGATCAGGGTTTTAGGAGTTTTAATTATTTTAGTTACCTATTCAGTGTCACTATGGTTGCTCCTGGGTTTTGAACCTGTAACCACCAGGGAGAAAGCACTGGGATGTAAACCTTGGATAATATAGAACATGGAGGTCCAGGGATTTGCGTCCTCTTGAATTAGGTCCACTGACTTAGAGAGTCTCCTCTGGAAGGACCTTTCGATCCCTGCACCCTCCGTTTGTGTGGGTGGACAGTGCTTTTAACCATACGGCTCCTGCGCGTGTGGCTGCTCAGAATCCAGCGGGGCAGAGTCTACGTTAGCAACTAAGCAACTAAGGTTGAGCATGCTTCCAACAGCCCGCACCCCAGTGATCCATTCCGAAACAACCCCATTAGTCCTATCTCCAGCCCCTTGGTCTCCCGATTCACTACCCCCCTGTGTGCACAGATGAGAGGTGCTTCCTAGAGTTTTTGAGATTGTTGCTGGTTGGAAGCAGATCACTACCCCTTTCTATTGAGGGTCCTTTGGGTAGGATTGAACTGCCGACCTTTTGATTAGTAGTGAAGAGCTTATTCTTAAGTGCTCATGAGCATATTAAAAAACAAAACAAACCCTCCAACAAAAACTTAACTCATCGTTATTTGGATTATGATGCTATTCCAAAAATATCAAAACCCAAACTAGACTATTCGTGTCATATTCTGAACAGCCTGGTGCAGCTCTAGCTATTCAATGTCAATATTCACACCAAAGATATCCGTTCACCAGGAACATGAGTGTTTGAATGGAGACCATAGACTATAACCAACTTACTTATTAATGCCTGCCATGCTTCAAATATAGTCTTAAAACATACCTAAATCTTACAAAACATTCTGAATTACATTACCTTAATTGACAGTCCAGCATAGTAACCAAGCACAATCTTCTCAAAGTATAACAACACTGATGTTTTGTTCTACCATCTATTTGCTCCCATTTATGCAAGCAGAAATTAAGTGAAGGGAATAATACATGCCTCATTTTTAAGCTTCTTTCTCATTTGATTACATCTATTATGCTTTATGCAAACAAGTGGTGCTGTTACATAAGCGAACTATTGAACCCATCTGAAGAGAGAAAAGGAAGTGTCTGCGGTCCTCGTATAAAGGCTTGTGGAAAGTGCTCCCACTTATTGACGCCTTCTTCCTTAAGAAAAGGTAAACCCTGCATGCTGTAGTTCTTAGCAGTGTCATTATTCTCATTTCTGAATGATTGCCTTTTCTTAATTTTTACTATAAGTGGAGATGCTGTAAATACACACAAATAATTCCTTGAGAATTTTCTGAATGTAAAATGCTCTACTGTTTTAGGGAAAAGCCCTAATTACATCAATGTTGACGTTTTGCCAAAGACAATTTCTTTGGCTTCTGATACAACTTGAAGGAAAGTAAAATAAACAGGACAGTGAACAAAAGTAAACACTTAGTTTAAAATGAAACTATGCTTATAACAATGGACACAGATATGCTTGGTCTTTTCCAGATTTCTTCAGAGGTGAGTGAACAATTGCCTCTCCCTCCCAAGAAGGTATTTGAGGAGAAGTTTGTACTCTATGTTCATATACAGCCCGGTGTGAGTTTTTAGCGTGTCAGTCAGTGAGTTAGAGGGAAAGGGTAAAGAGAAGCTAATCAGGATGAAATGAGATTAAAGGCTGTCTAATTTTACAGCAACTGTGATCCATCAGCCACTGTGAAAGTGACAGTGGAAATGAGTGATGGAGACAGACAGGTGGGGCTGTACATTTCACTGATTTATCCTCAAATGCACTGGGCCTTATTTTATTGAGTGAACATGACCGCATTTATCATGACTGTCATCTAAACCCACTTCCCTCCATTTAAAAAGGTCACTTTACTCAGAGGGAGCAGGAGAGAGGCACTTTCAAATCCGACTGAAAATCCAATAACACGTGTTTATAAAGCCCTTTGCAACAATTCTTAACTTTTTAAAACTAGTGCGCTAGGAGGAAACTGTGTGTGCGTGTATATGTGTGCGTGCGGTCAGAAATTTAAAAGAGAAAAAGCCCTTGGTCATTGGAAGAAGCATTTTCATTTCATTTTTACACTCAAAGCCATTTGGACCAATTTTGTTTTTCCCACTCCAATCACACCCAAATCCTGTTCTGTTCTAGGAAATTAGATGAGCATTCATATTTAATCATTATAGTTAAGAAGGTTAGCAGAAGGTGACCCCATAAAATATACTTGGAGAGGATATTTCAGTCATAGTACGTACCTTGCTGTGTGACATTCATCCTTACACACTAAACAGATGTCAGCAATTGTCATCAGTGGACTCTGGAGCACAGCTGAGTCACATACCTGTTCTTAGTTTCCTTCCAAGTTGAAGATCTTAAAAAACTGTAACACAAAATCTTATATCCTTCCCTGAACTAGTGCAATAAAATGGCACGGGATGTTATGCACACACAGTGGGGTCTGTGGATAAGAAACCTGAGCGCCATACCCCCAGAGTATTCTTGTCACAATAAGAACCACCATTTACCAAACGCTGACTATGTTACAGAAACAGTGTAGGCATTTTACCTCTCTTATTTCATTGATATTCAACGAAGGCATGATTCATCCATTATATATTTATAACAATACGGGGCCTTGAGAGGTGAACTAACTTGTTGAAGGTCATATTCAGCGGGTGGGTGGCAGAGATGGACTCCCAACACTGGAATATCTGGATCCTAAACCACACGCTTATTCATCTCACTCTACTGATTTTCAATAGGCATGCTCATCCAACCAGCCCGTAATTACTGAGTACCTGTGTGCTCAATGATGGTGTTCTTGAAAATTGTGTATAATTTTCATGCAGAATCATATTTTAAATATGTTTATTCTCTTGATAGTCAAAGGAATGCTTAAATAAAGCAAGTAGACATTAAAAAATTATTTTGAACTTGGATATTCAGAGTTTTCCTAAAGTACATTTCTTAAGGTAAAGTACATTTGCCCGTGGAAGCCAGAAAAACACAGAAAATCAGCCAGTTAAGGATCTATATGATATATATAATAATATATACATTTTCTCAGTGGTGCTTTGGGTTAGGTGTTGGGCAGCTAACCACAAGGTTTGAAGTTTAAATCCACCAATTACTCCGGGGAAGAAAGATGAGGCTCTCTACACCCATATATATTTTAGCCTTAGAAACCCTAGTGAGGGTTGTTCTGAGTCAGACCAACTCTAGGACAGTATAAGTCTGGTGTCATTATATATCTATGTGTGTGTGTGTGTGTGTGTATTTCTACGTATGTCTTTTAAAAGTTTGTGGAAATTTTTCATTTTCTTCTAATTACATTTTTCCATTCACTCTCTGAGGTCTCCTTAGATACACACACACAAATATGTGTGTGTGCACACACACGGTTAGGTGCTGTTTAACATCTATAATATGTTTTGTGAAATAGGACATGATGTGATTTGGATGTTATGTAAACATCATATTACATACAAACAGTTCCCAGATCTGTTCCTAAATCTGAGTTTAAGTTGTATTTGTACACAAGTCTGACCAGTTAGGTATATTTTCTCTCTAACAGTAGTCAAATGTTGTTCTTAGTATATAGTAATAATGTATATTTCTATGCATAAAAACATTAAAGGAACACTTCCAGATATACTAAAACATCTTGTACATAATACTACAATAATAATAA